ATCTCTCGGGCCCATTGCTCCTCCTCCCCCCGGATGCCCGGGGCCGCCTGGGTGGGGCCGCCCGCCAGGGCCCCCGGGGCGCTGGGCACCGGCGATTCCAGGTGGTGCTGCTCCGCGGGCGAGAGCGAGGGCTGAGGACCTGGGAAAAGCCGAGGGGTACGGTCAACGCCCATGACCTCAGCGGGCCCCGAAGTGCACCCGAGGGACCGGTTAGCCGGGGCCCTGCGTCTCCCTTTCCCCAGCGCCCGATTTCTCTTAGGCCCCCCGGCTCGTCTCTAGGGGTTCCGTTTCCCGCTCTTAGAGCCACATGTGTCTCCCCAGGCACCATAGGGCGAGAAGAGGTCCCGGGGCGGCCTCTCTGGAGGCGCCTGTCCAGCCCGGGTTGGCCTGGAGGACCTTCCTCTGATCCCCACTAAGCACCTCTACTGCAGACACTGCCTGCTCCATTTCACAGATGGGCTAACTGAGGCCCATGCAGAGAAGTGGCCCAAGGTCACGCGGGGATACAGGCACTGACTACACCCAGAGTCACAAGCCTCAGGTCTCCTGCCCTCTGGTGTCCAACCGCAGGGAGGCCACACCCCCGGAAGTGGCAGGGCCCTGACCAGAGGCCAGGCGGGCTGCTCGGCGCCCCCGCGGGGGGGATGGGAACTGGGGGGGCTGGGATGCGGGAGATGCCTTTCTGCCCCACCCGCTCCTCTGACCTCTCTTCCTCCTGTCACCCCAGGCCCTGGCCCGGGGGATCCCTACAGCCAAACATCAGGGCCTCAGTTTCCACACCTGAGACTCTGGTCTTGGAATCGAGTCCCATCTTGCCTCACTGCCAGGGAACTGAGTTTGGAGAAGTTTCTCTCCGAGCCGCCCCGGCTCGGGGGGACAGGGTGGGGCTGGAGGGAAACCGGGACAGTCTTCCCTGCCATTGAGTGCCGGTGGGATGGGGCTGCCGGGCACCACGGGGTTAAAGGCCCATCAGGCAGGGGACCTTTAACCCTTCCCTCCCCGAGGCTCACCCCGCCACACACAGGCCCACTTTCCCAACACAATGGCCCCTCCCCCCTCCTTCCTCCCGAACCGCATAGAGGGCGGGCCCTGGCCCCAAAGACCCAGATAATGGCCAAAGGCCACCCTCGACCCCTCCCCAAAGTCCTGAAGTGCCCATCCTCCCTCTCTGCCCACGCGCTCTCTCACTGCAACCCCAGGGGACTGAGGGCACCCAGAGGAGGGGAGCGGGGCTGGGAAGCAGCTGTCGCCCCAGGCCCGGAAAAGGGCACGGGCTGCCACTCAGGGACTGCAGTCAGATTCCAGGAGGGACTTCCCACTCGGCCTCCCCCACCCCCAGCCTCCTACTCTGTCTTCCTGCTTCTTGCAACACAAAGACCACACTGGCCACACCTCCCTGTGGCCCGGCCAGCTCACCACCTCCCCCCACCCGCTCCCACTTGGCCAGTTCCTCAGTGTCTCTCTCCCGGCTCTCAACATCCCCGTGTGGGGTGGGCACTCACCGTTGGGGTGCGGGCCTCGGGGGCGGCTACGGGGACCCCCAGGCCAGCGGGGGGCCCCTAGGGCGGCAGTGACAGCGGGCAGGGCAGTGGGGGCGCAGAGGTAGGCAGCTGGCAGCAGGGCAGGGGTGGCAGGGGCAGGAGGCAAGCCAGGCTCACAGAGGCCGCAGGACACAGCTGAGGGCACCAGGCGGCTCAGTGGGAAGGGACGAGGGCCGTCGCGGGCCAGGCCCTCTACGGGCTCCGGGGAGCTGCCCTCCTGGCGTGCTCGGGCCATGGTGCTCCCTGGGGCCTGCAGGACAGGAAGAGAAGGGTGCCGTCAGCCGGCAAGTGCCGGGGTCACCAGGGCCCCACAACACACACCCCGTACAGGGCCCACAGGCACCTCCACTCCTGCACACCACGATGAGCATACACACGGCTGGGATGGCACCCTCCACGCACACTGGGCCCAGAGGGAGGTATGTGTGATGGTCACACAAGATACCCACCCACCGAGGGACCCAGGGCTCGGCAGCCTCCCAAACATATGGTGATGGGCACACATGAGGGACAGGGCGGCACAGGCTGGCTCTCACAGCAAGTTCAAGAGCTCACACAGGACCCAGATGCAGGGGGCTGTCAGGTGTGTGAGTGTGAGGGTTGATGGCCCCACAACACAAACTCACCCAACAGGACATGGGCTGGGGGGGAGTCACTTTTGGGACATAGTGATGGGCACACACGGAGGGCAGCCAGGCACTGGGATGGCTCCCCCAACACACACACACACACACACGGGCTCAGGCAGGACTGGCCAGCCCCACCTCCCACCTCATCTCCCATTTGCACAGAAACATTGAGATGGTCCCAGTGTCGAACATTGCTACTCAGAACACAGGACACACACACACACACAGGAACACTGACCAAATGTAAACACACAGACCATCACAAGAGCTATACAAACAATGCATGCTGCCTGGCACAACCCATCCCCCCCCCATGCACAAGTAGTCGGAATCACACACTAACCCACTGTTGATATGCCCGTGGACACACACACACACGCACACTGGCACACACGCACACTGACACACACAATGCAGCCAACACAAGCACAAACAGAAACACACACTTCTCAAACACATCTACACCCAAGAGATAAGGCATGCCCACCTCAGGACGCACACACATACAACACAAAACAGACACCCACGGACTCACACAGACCAACACAACGGAAACGCGCCTACTTGCCTACCAACTCTGAGACCCCAGGACACACGTCAATCACGCACACACAGACACACGTCAGCAGACCCAGACGCATCCCCACACATCCCAGCAACGACACACAGACACGACAGCAGAAGAGAACATCAACCCACCCTCCTTCCCTCACCTCAAAACACCATCGCCAACTGTCAGTCCCGGACACACACCACACACACCAGCCAACTCTAATCCCACACCGCCCTGGCAGCACGCACACCTAAAGCTCCCACAGAAAACAGTGGTCTCACGTGACCGACATAAACACTACACACACGCAGCCCACATGACACACATGAGCCAGCCGATCGCGGAGACAAACCCCTCAGACCCAACATACACACACACACACACACACACACACACACACGGAGTCAGACAAGCCCCATGCAAGAGGCTGCCAGCAACACCCACTGACTGCACTGCACAGACCCCACAGAGACGCGGTCCTCAATTCCCAGACACCGATGCCAGACATACAAGCCAAACAGAGGCGGAGACAGCCCCCCACCACACACACACACACACACACACACACACGCACGCACACCGTGCAGAACTCACAGACACCTGGAAAAAAAGCAGGCACCACATTCAGCAGGCACTCATCACAAACATGCCCCGGAGACATACACAGTCACAGGCAAGACACAGGAGCACACACAAACAACACACGGCGCAGGACACACAGAGAAGCACACTAACACAGCTCACTCAGAACAACACACAACAACCTAGCACGCCCCACCACACGGACGGACCCATAGAACCCCCCCCAAACAGCATCCACAGACAACTCTCACTCACAGAGCACACACACGGGTACCCCGATAAACAGAGCCCACCCCTCAGGCAGGGCAGACACAGACAGCACTCCACACAAACACACAGACGGGGGACTCACGCGCGCGCACACCCCGAGCGGCCACAGCCCCAACATTCCCCCGGACGGACGGACGGTCACCACCACTCCCTGCGGACCCCAGCAACAAACTCGGAGCCAGACACACGCACACACCCAGGCGAGACACCTGCAGATCCACAACCCCGCACACGCGCGCTCCC